CGTGGGTAAGAACTTGCATCTGAAGAAGTGAGGTTCTTACCCACGAAAGCTTATGCTCCCTATACTTCTGTTAGTCTCAAAGGTGCCACAGGACCCTCTGTTGCTTTTTACAGATTCAGACTAACACGGCTACCCCTCTGATACTTGACTTTCATTAGAGTGTTGAATTGGGACATTTTACCCACTGACTCAAATGTTACCTTGTTAGATTTACTGTAGGCAAATGAATCTGCATTGTATCTAGCTACTTGGTGCTGCTTTTCAGGAACTAACTGGAAAGAGACCACCTGTCACATTGGGTTAACTGAATTTTAACACTGATTTTTTTTTTTTGGATGCAAGTAGGAAGAAATATTAATTATATAAACAAATTGTGTTTTTCTGCTGCAAGTATGTATCAGTATATTGTACCCTAATAAGTAGATATTGACGACATCTGAGGTGTATGTCAAGATTTATTAAAAGCCTGTCGGTGTGTATCTCTTTCAGGACAGTAGATCTCTGTTCATCGAAATATGAAATATAGTATTGTTCATATCTTCTGACTGTTGGTCAGCACTCCATTTTGGTCATTCATTAAGCAAAAATTGTTCTAATATTCTAACTGGGAGGTGAAATTGCTAGAAGTCCAGAAACTGTTGTTATCCTCTTAGCGAACCAAGAAATAGGAATCTGTGAATTCAGTCTGATGTGAAATCCTGGCCCCATTGAAGTGAATGAGAAAACTCTTATTGACTTCAGTGGAGCCAGGATTTTGCCTGAGAGTGTTAACATTGCTCCAGACCTTAAGAAGCAGTTATAGCTGGAAAACAGACTGTAAAATCATTACCATCATGTTCTTTGTGCATTCAGAGTTGTTTACTTTAGTGACACAAATAAGGTTATTTTTTTCCAAACTACCATGTAATCCTACAGCATTAATACCACTGTGGAGGAGCTCGGGTTGACATTATCAACAGTATTATTTACTTAAGTTCCAGATGTAGAAACTTTAATATTGGGGATCATACATCACCCAGAAAAAAAGGAAGCTTGCCTTTTGGATCCCAGCTAGGATGACCAGATAGCTAGTGTGAAAAATCGGGACGGGGTGGAGGGTAATAGGTAACTATATAAGAAAAAGCCCCCAAAATCAGGATTGTCCCTATAAAATCGGGACATCTGGTCACCCTAATCTCAGCCTTAATATGAAAGAATAGAAGTGGGGAGGGGGATATTTTTTTTTAAATCTGAGCAAGTTTTAATCTGAAAAACTATTGTGGAGTAAACATGGAATTCCACAATGCCCTCTTTATAGAATAGCTTGTCAGAGTATAACTGCACTTTTATTATTGACATCTAGGGGGTAAATGATCAAAATTCCTGGGTTGTCACATGAATGTTTATGATGGTGGATATGGTGCTTGTTTGGCAGCTTCTTCATCTTGGTCAAGTATTTATGAAGAAGTTCATTGCTAGACTTTACAACATAAATAGGAGTATACAGAAACCTAATTGCTGTTGCCTTTTCTGAAATTGGAAATAACAATACAAGAAAGTGGAAAGGATTTATACAGTCTTACTTTTTTTAGCAAGAAGAATAGCAACTCTTGAGAGCATTGTGTTTTATTTGAAACTTCAGGTAATATCTCCCAGCTGTAACGATGACATCACAGTGAAAAAGGACCAGTGTTTAGTTCGATCTTTTGCAGATTCCAAATTGTGAGTAATAGGATACAGTACTCTTAATAATAGTGTTGTATTGAAGAATGTGTGAACTTGTGACAAATTTTTATGTGGACATTATTCAATTGTACATTAAGATCTTTCTATACAAAACTTAAGTACAGGATTCTACTTAGTTAAAATTTATAACCAATGACTCAGTATTTTCTTGCAACTTAAAATAAAAAAAGGCAAGCGACTTACAACATAATTTTCTACCTATTGCATGCTTAAGATGCACAATTGAGCTAACATATTTGATGGAGGACAGTGGGGGGCTTACCAATGTTACTAAGTCATCTTAGATGATTAAAGTTAAATACTTTTTTTAACAAAATTTACTTTTGTTAGTCAAGCATTTCACTTCTGTTTTTCTCACTTTTTAGTTTATAGACACTTTCCAATTAATTTCTCCTTTTTGGTTTTTCGTACATTAGCATAGTCCTTTTTTTGGGTTGCAACATTGAGTTGGAATGTTTTGGGGGTTTTCGGTAGGCTTTTTTAAACTTTCCACTGAAATAAAAAATTAGAGAAATTTTTAGAGGTCTAAATTTTTTTTGTAAAAGCTTTTTATGTAACTTGGGTCCTGATATTCCTCACTTAAGGTCTGCCAATCTGGTACATTTTTGTGCATGTTTATTGAAACAATGTTTTTAAGCTGCTCTTTCAGTAGCAATTTGTAGCCTTTAACTAACAAACTCAGTATTTATAAGAGAAGGTGAATTGAAAGTATCTATTGGGTTACAAACTGCTACTGAAGGGGCACTTGGGGTCTAGGATATCCAGTGAGAGAAGGAGAGTCCAGTTATTCCAGGGAATCTTAAAAATAAGAGGAGAACTTTATTAAACAAATATATTCAAAACAATGATAACAGTTTAACCATTTCCTACTATTTTTTCGTATACCATTTAGTGACTGCTTCTCATAGTACATAAACCTCAACATTGTGTTTGTACAAAACATGCCTGTTTTTAAAAAAATAAATGAGCTATAGTTATAGCAGCAATAATTCTCAATAGAATGTGAATTAGTAGGCTACTGATGCACTGTTTCTTTTGGCCTTATTATTTGGCTAAGGCATGCATCAATAGCCTACTTAAAGTATATTCTGTTGAGAATTATCACTATAAATAACATAATATGTCTTATTACCAGTGCCTACTGGACCATTTTTCTATTTATTTTCTTTAGCTTGAGAAAATGGTGGCCACCAATTCCTTTCACTCTACTGGGGTTTTGTTACAGTTCTTGTGAATGAACTGAAAGAAGAAAAATCTTATTATAATAACTCACTTGAAATGCTATAATTGTAGATTGGCCTGCATTCCTATTATAACAACCAAATTTAACTCAATATTTGGAATACATCTTGTTCCAAACTTAAAAGATTCCATATGTGTTAGCATGAGAGCACTTTTGTAACTTAAAAGAATTGGATGATCTAATAACACAGATATTGGTATTTGCTTCACAAATCTTGTTTTGTGCTAGCAAAAATACAGTTTAAAATCAGGGCATACATTTACTTGTCAATATATAGATTGTTTCCCTTTGATAGTAGTTGTTTTTGTAAACAGTCATATTGATATGGGATATATTACTTTATACATGCAGTAGCCACTTTGTAAAGAGTGACTTCCCGCTTTTCTCACCCCATTTCTTTTTGCTGGTTACATATTATAAAATCAAGGATTCATTTCCATAGATCTAGCTGGAGGGACTATTTTTATATTGGATTTTCTGTAAACTGGTCTTGAAATTGCTTTGAGAGGTCAGATCTCTGTAGCATGCCCTAAAATTTGTATTTAAAAAGTAAATGTGCAGTATTTCTTTAAAATATTATGAAATATAGTAAAAGGTTATATTGTAAACTGACATCCAATTCTTGTTCTTCCTTGCATTAATTCCCTCAAATGAAGCCTGCTCTACGAGTCCTCTCCCTCCAAAGTGCTCAGTTCAGTGCCATATCCTCTATTACACCACGTGCTAACATGTCTTCCTTTGTCATCCCATCCCTTCTTAACATGACATCTAACTAACATTGGCAAAAGTAAGGAAATGTAGAGATAAAACTTTGTTTCTACTGTATATTGGTGCTACAGACATTAACTCAGTGCGTGATTGAGAGTGATGGCAAAATATTTGGATGGAGTTTTAATTTGCTCCATGGCATGGTGTGGGTTTTAAAAGAAAAATTAAAAATATTTACAATATTTTTATCTTTAAAAATATAACAGCTCTGTAACTATAACAGATTAAATTATATTTTTTAATTAAAAAGGCACTTTTGATTACTTTGGGAATGAGGATTGGGAGTTTCTGTGCTATTGCTACTGTATATTGTGTTAGTGCATATATCCGCTGATGCTTTAGGTATAATTCTAAAAGTTGAAAGTGAATGAAGGGTCTTGAATTTTGAGAAATCACTTTTTTCATAAATGGAGTACTCCTTGACTTATTCCTATTTTATTTTATTTTATTTTATTTTATTTTATTTTATTTTATTTTATTAAATACTTTCCTCTCTTCCAGTTATTCAATAGCAAGAAAGGACATCAAAGAACTAGATGTAAACCTATCAAAATCTGATCTGTCTGCTAAAAAAGGTATATTAGAATAATTCTTCTCTGGCTTAAAAAACAAATCAGTTGTGTAATGCAATATTGAACCTTCTGCTGGTATGTGACTAGAGTTAATTGCTATCAGTTTACCATTGGAGGGTTACAGTGAACACTAATAATACTGCTATATACTATAATGCTACTATTTAGCATTTTAACAGTGCTTTGCTAAGAAGCACTGGCAGCTATTGCTTCATACTTAAGATGGTAACCAAGCTTCCATTATAAGTCTGATTTGTTTGGGGAGGGGAGTTCCCTCTCTAAAATCCACCCAAGTTATATTGGCCTCCAAACTGGTAGTTTATGCCTGGACCGGAGGTAGAAATATTCAACCGAATTTGAAGTTCCTTTATACATGGGATTCCTGAATTATGGCACTCTAAAAATAGAACTGTTCACTAGAATTCAAAAAGTCTCCTTTGTTGTTGTTGTTGTGGTTGTTTTCCTTATGGAGGCTTCTTAAGGGAAAAAGGGAATTTTACCTCCTAGGTAAGGGTAGGGAAGGACTTGTATGTCACAGGAGGGCTTGCCAAGCAAGGGCTTGTCCACAAAGAGTCTTTTGCAAACCATAGAGGGTTCATCAGTTACAGAAGCCAGGGAGGTATTAGTGCTCCCCAAACCTTCTACAGTAGCACTGAGCAGGTCCTTGGTGTTCTTGCCTCTATCTATTTTAAGTACCTGCATGGCCCCCATTACTGTAGTATCCAAGTGCCTCAGTCTTTAATGTATTTATCCTTGCAAACACCTGTGTGAGCAAGGACAGTTATCCCCATTTTACAGTCGGGGAACTGAGGCACAGAGAGACTAAGTGACATGCCCAGGATTACACAGAAAGTCTGTGGTGGAGCTGGAAACAACTTGAGTTTCCAGAATCCCAGACCAGCACTGATAACCATTGGATCATCCTTCCTCTGCTTCTTCCACAGTCCCCAACCAAAAATCATCCTCTCCCCCTCCCTGCCAAATGTCTAGGCCTCATAGGGGCTCACAAGCTTGAGTCCAAAGAGACTTACTGGGCCACTGATGCAGGTACCCAGGTGAAGCCCTACTCCACCATCCCAAAGATCTGTGGGAGGCTGGCTGTATTAAGTGAGCATTAGTGAGTGTGAGGAAGGTATACGTTAGTGAGTATCAGGGAGTTGGGAGGATATGGGGAATCTCCACTCCTATAGTTTCTCAAAGTCACCTTTTGCTCCCCAACCCCATGTTGGGAGTATTTAAAAAAAAAAAAAAAAAGGAAATATCCATACAAAAGCACTAACATTATAGTGTGGATACCTATCAGTGGGTTTAGATGTGTATTGCCTTAATATTTGGATTTTTTGTTTCAAACTCTAACACTAGAAACCAAATATGTCCATAGGGAAGGTTGCCATGATTGAGAGATACAATCATATTGCGTTAACTCAACCCCCTGGGGATGCTCTGAGGGAATAAAGAAACTTCTACTATATTATCACCCATAACAATTTATTTTAAAACCCTACAGTCATACATGACCCATACTGAAGAATTATAGGCAAATGGGCATACTGAAGGCAGTCATTCATTCCTTACCATTAAATGTCTCATCCTACAAAGTGCTGAGGTCACTCAAAGCCTCTCATATGAGAAGCGTATGCTTTGATCATGAAATTGGAGCACTAATACTGTATTAAAAGAGCAAATGATAATGTGGTGAGAAATCGTCACACTTAGCATAAGAGACATGTATGTATGAAGCAAATATTTCACCCGATGTTTTATGATGCTTGTTTCTGATAAAGTTGGATGTAAGATGAAGATGATAACTCTGCCCTAAAGGGGCCTGCCTAAGATAACATTGTACTTGTCAAATAGCACCTAAATTAACTCCATGGATTCCATGGATTTCCAGTATTTGTGTTTTTAATCTAACATTCCTGAAAGCTAAAATGTGCTCATACTATGAAGATGTGCTTGCAACCATAACTTCATCCTAAATTTTTGTGTGTGGGATTAATGATCGTGTTTAAACTTTTAATTCACTTTTCACCACCTATTGACAATTCAGCTCTGAATTTTCTCCCCCCCCCCATTATAATTTGAAAAAAAAAATTAGGAATATTTTGTAATTTACATAATTTTGAGTTAAACTTAGTACCTTGAACACTGGGCATTTTTCTCTGTAGGGTTACAGGAAGCAAGCACTTTCTTAAACACAAAAGCTGTTCCTGATAACTGGAAAATGGACATGAGTGAAATCCTGGAATCCTCCAGCAGTGATGAGGAAGATGGCGCTGCTGCAGAAAGTGATGAAGAGGAAGACAAAGTGGAAGAAAAGGAGGAAGAAGTAGTGGTAAGTCTATTTTTATATTAGAAACAATTATGCAATTAGAAATGGTAGATACAGAATTTAAATGTCCAAGGACACTTTAGTTACCAAAGTTGTGATCTCAAACTTGGCTTACTCACTTTGGAGTTTTCAGACCTGTTTAGCTTCCCTTCACAACTGTGCTTAATGGTATCTGTGTGCAACTGCAGATATTCTGCCATTATCCAATGCACAAATTTGAGACAAATCTCAGAAATAAGTCAGCAAACTTTGTTGGAGAAGGTCTGGGTCAGAAATATGCAGATAGGGAAAGGAAACAAAATTTGATAGCTGTCTGAATAATAACCTAGTGCTGATTTAAAATGTAACATGCTTCTAAAATCCAAGATCCTCTTGAATGATGAATACTTCCAGTCAGAGAAGGTACTAAAATGCCAAAACAAAAATATTGGGCACAGTAGAGGAAAGTGGTAGGTGGATGGACTATCCCCTATTATAACTATTTGTTAGCTATCTAAGAACCTCAGAATTTTATGCTAAATATCTTTAGATATTAACATTTTTTAAATTATGGAATGGTAATGTTATTGTCTAATATATACTTTAAATTCAATTCATTGTACAAGTGTCTGTCACAGAAGTATTGATAAAATGATCCAGTTACTCAGTTTCCATAAAGTAAAGCATCATCTGTCCTCATGTAATCAAAAATGAATTTATGGAATTTCCTTTAATTTGTATCTGGTTTTAAATCTTACAGAATTAGATTTACTTGCAAATAAAATAGTTCTTTGTAAGTTTGTGAACCATACATGGAACCAGAAGATTCATTATATAGAAAAGGAAAGCAAACTTTCTGTTTTTAAAGAAGGTCAAATATCGTTTCCCTTTCACTTCCCCTGTAGTATGTGGTTTTGTCACACTGAAAACAGAATGGCTGTTCATACTTAGAGGCAGACTGCCTACAGTGTTGCCATAGTAACATACTGTTGGTTTAAAGTGAGCATGCTCAGGAAAGAGAGGAAGATTTAGCAGAGGCTTGGCAGCCTGCCAGTGAGGCTTGCCAGATGCTTTGAAATGGACTGTCTCTTTCTTTTCCTTTCATGTAATGTCTGATTTTTATATGGAAGAGAATGTAAGTAATGCTATATAACTGCGGATGTCGTGCAGTGAGAGAGAAAGAAAGCAAATATTTGGAAGTCAGGATGAAATATGTCCAGGCACTGGGCAGATTAGGTAGAAGGGAAATATAACCATTTTTCATTTGAGAGAAAATGCAGCTCATAGGTAAGGAGTTTGTGTTTTAACCTGCAACGTTAACATTTTTCATTATTAAGAATGTGGATTTGACTTAGAGTTCAAGGTTTCTGATCTGTGAACAATGTGGTATAGCATGTAGCCAAGGGTAAATGTTTCCTTGTTTAAAAAAATAAAATAAAAACCTATTTTTAGATATCAATGTTATGCCTTAGTAATAGTGTTCTGAAAAATGGAGGAGTTGTCCATATGAAAATATTGATATGGTTAGGTAAATATGAGGATGAATGTGCATAGAATATAAAATCCCACTTGGTTTTTTCTTCTGTATGTAGTGATAAGAATTGAATAGGCCACATTTTGCAGGGTGTGAACTGTTGCAGTCTGCGTTGATCTGTATTAACGTTTGTTAAAATTGCATACTCCCAGTCAGATTTTTGTGTGTGTTTGTGTTTGTTTTTTTTAAAAGATGGCTTAATCGGCTTCTAGTATAATTTTTGGTGTCATTTTACAATGGATGTTGTCTAAAAGTGCAGTATGCTTCAAACAAAGAAGGGGGAGGGGTAGCTTTGTTTAAAAACAAAACAGCATTCTTATAAAACAAATGGGGTTTTCATTTCTGATTCTAAGAAAATAATCTGTTGATCAAGGAAAGGGAGGTAAAGCATTCCAGAGATGTAGATATGTCCGTAGGAAAAGCTGTAGGATCCATTGTTTCCAGGTGACAAGTAAAGATATAAAAATAAAGGGATCATAAAGCTCTCTAGTGGAGCATAGATATTTATATTTTTTTTTAGATTGTCTGAGCAGAGCTGTCATTCTTGACTATGAAGTCAAAAATCTTGATTATTCTTTTATAATAGTCTAATCTTAATTATTTAATTGTGGGCAAAGCTCAATATTTCTGCTAAAGAGAGAGAATTTAGGAATTGTGATTTTTTTTTTTCCTTTAAGGGTTTTCTTCAAAATGTCACTAATCTGGGATGCAGACCTAAGGGAGCTAATGCATAAAAGACTGTTGTCTTGGCTAAGTATGATTATAAATGTTGAATCACTCAAATTTTAATCAAGGTCAAAATAACCTCATTCCTATTTCTGTCAGAATATCCTCAATTCATCTTCTGTTTTGGGACTCTGAGTCACTCTGTTCTATTTTTTTTTTTAAATTTACCATGGTGGTGCAGTAATGGCCTAGCTGCCAACAGGCATGGAAGGCCTTTCTCAGATAAATGACATGGAGTCCCCTTAACTCTACAAATATATATTTAATACATACCCAGCGTATTGTCAGTCAAATCCAAAGGATAGTCTTATTATGGAGTCAGAACAGACAGGCCTAATGTAGTTGTTTGTGATTATAGAACCTAGTATTTTCTCGCAGCTGGATTAGGATCCATAATTTTGCTTTGACACACTTTTTTGTGATGCCTTTAGTGATTTGGTAGTGGTTCAGTACAAGGAGTAATTTAGAATAAGCACCAAGATATTTTGGTGTCGCTGCATAGTCTCTTCAGGATCTGAGAATATGGGATCAACATGGTGGTACTCCGATGGTTATCTCTCCTGTTGGAGGTAATTTATGAGTGTGGGATTCTTTACAGTTGTTCAGTGCAGGAGGAAAATCGGGAGATAGCCTTCGCATTGACATCTTTATTTAAATTTTAGAAGAACATTGACATGTGTCATGTTGCATAATAAGTTTCTCAAAAGGTTAAATTTGAGACTTTTTTGCAGTAATTTCAAAATACTGCATAGCAGCCCTAAGTTACTGTATTGCTTTCAACTTATACTTGGATACTTGTTTAAATAATGACACTGACTTTTTGTTACTATTATTTTTGCTATTCCGTTTGGTTGAATAAGATAACTTTTTCCCATTTGGAAGTGAGTGGTTAGTTTGAATCTAGCCACAGGTCTGTTGGCTATAAACGTTTGTATTCAATTTGTAAATTTAAAAATTTGCAGTAAGAGTGTGCTACATACATATTAGGATGTAACAGCCATTCTGAAGATAAATTGGAATTAGAGGTATAAAAATTTGAAACTCTTCTATATCATTGGCTGCATTGAAAACATTCCAGAAGCTCAAGGTCTGTCTCTAATATGCATGTCTTATTAAAAATCAAAAATATGTACAAGCATATTATTTTCTTGCACTTCTACTCGTCTGTCAAGGAAGATAGCAATTGCTAGTTGTTTACCAGGAAATAAAAATGTCCAATGATTAACTTTTTCCTTGCCCTGTGTTTAAAGGGGAGACTGCCTGCAGCTTGCAGTTTGATCTTTTGAGTCTCTTTGGACATTCTTCCTGTGGACAAATCAAGCCCTCTTCATGCATTTAGTTAAAATATATTTATTCCTTTTGTTGAGTCAGAAGCAACAAAAGGAATTCCTATATATCGAGCGTATGCGTTTGATTTTATGTGTAGGATTTCAAAGAGTTACCGTAAGACATAATATTAAATGATGATTGGATCAAAGGGCAAGAGATTTGGAGGGTGGGGCGTTGTGGGAAGGGAGGAATGGTGTATAAGGCCCTCAATGTTCAGGTTTGGACAGTGTACCATGACTGAATTTAACTGCTATTGCCCCTGGGGAGGTAGTGTTTTGTTTTATTATCCCTTTGGATTTTTCATCTCTTCTTATCCTTTTAAATTTTTAGAAGCAGGAAGAGTTAACAACATAGCAACAGTGCTAGCCAGATTGCTCCCTAAGTGTCTCCCACTCAAGAGGAGTTGGTTAGCAGTCCTGTATCTTTTTCATGGAGAGTCTTCCTAATGGGAGATATTGCAGAAGCTGGCCAGTTCATGGGAAATATGGGGGGAACAGGTCACTATGCTGGCCATCCTTTAAAGGTGTCTGTCTCATATGAGATCAGAAGTAAGTTGTTTTCCATTTGAAAATGAAACTTTGGTGCCTAACTCACTTCCTGCTGTTTGAAAATAAGAACTGGAAGATCCAGGAGGATATGGTGGCAGAGGGTGGGCTCTGTTCTCAGGGCAGTGGCAAGTACCTGGTCATGCTCCTGGTAGCAAATTATAGATTTCTTGTCATGTGAATTTACCCTACTGAATTCTTCAACGGGGGGGAAAGATGGCCCATTTAAATGATGACTGTGAGGAGTTTTTTCAAAATACGACATGTTCTAAGGAAGTCAAATTCCTAAATGCTGAATCAGGAGCGTGGTATAGCATCACTTTTTCCAACACCTTTCAGATCCCTGTTTCTCAGAAAGGCAACAATACACTATGATAAGAGCATAGAACGTGTAATTATAATCGAAAAATTGCTACCTAGAAAGTTTCATATAATACTTCCAGATTTGCAGATATATATAAAAAATGGATGACATGTTCAGCGTTTTCCTGTGTGAAATTAGTTGTTTGGTCGAAGTCTGCTTCCCAATGGACAGGTATTTGCATCATAAATATCATCACAGTTGGCACCCTTGTTGGCACTCTGAGCAGACAAACCAGTGACTGAATGGGCATGATGGCTGGACTACCTTTTAGCCTGTAGAGGAGGTGTCCTCCAGTTAGCACAGGGTCATGTCACTGCCCACCACCAGTGCAAGAAAGCTTTCCCTGCTATACCTGCTCTGTGGATAAGTAGAGGATTTCAGTCCTAAGGATTTTCATTCCTGATACCTTTCACCAGCATTAAATTTACATCAGGTGGGGGAGGGCTGGCATGTGTGCAAATATTTGAAACCCATGAAGTACATATTAGAAATAGAGATTTGGGATTCTTGTACATGACTAATGACTTCTAATGCTGCTTTCAGATTGCCACTAGTCACAGACTTCTCTAATGTTTAAATGGTTTTCAGAGGCAAGATAAAAATGTTATCTGAAGCAGTCCATCTCTGGTGTCAAGTGTGTGTGTTTTAGGATAGCATATAAAATCTGAGTCTAAAAATTGCATACAAGGCTGTCACAATTTCAAAGCTATTCAGCAAGAAACAGCTTCTTTAAGATACATGGATTTACATAACAGGTAAGTAGCAAATGTAAATGTAATACCACACAACATATATTTACAAGTGACAAATTTACTAATCTAAAGTAACTAATTTTTCCAAGATTTCTGATTACTGTTTGAGTTTGTGGTTTATAGTGCACCCTGTTGTAAAACTAGACATTTTATATACAGTTTTCATCTTCAAAGTTCTATATGAACATTGTAGTCTTATAATGCCCTTCGGAGTTACCTATATTAACCCCATTGTACAGATAAGATGAGGCAGAGAGAGGTTAAAAGATTGAAGATATGTAGCTAAATCGTTGGGCCTCGCTCACCCTTTATTAGAGCCTGTTTGTGGGAAAAGGATGTAAATGAGAAACCAAACTACGGTGGAACTGGAAGTTTTCAGAGAAAATTATTTGCACAGATTTTATCTATGAAATTCTGAAGCCTTCTGGTGAAAATATCTGGACTTGAGAAGAGATGGGACTGTGCTTGGTATGCAGCATTCCTGCTATCTACCGCAGGGGGTGGCATGAATGCCATGCTTAGAAGTGCAGTGTTCAGGCTACCTACCAACAGAAATATGGCTCTCCTCAATGGTGACAGGGGGTGGCAATAGCCTTTCTGAGATTCTGCAATGTTTATTCAGGTTCCTTCAATTCTTCTTTATCTTCCCCATCCTGGAGGCTGCAGCAGGAGGAATGGGGAAGAGAACCAAAGGACCTGCTCTGTGACTCACTTTGGGGTCCCAACCCACAGTTTGAGAACCGCTGGAATATCCCAGAACTAAGTGGCTAGAATACTTTCCTGAGAGGTAGGATTCAAACAGGGGTCTCCCTTCTTCCTGAACGGCACGGGAACTGAACTTGGGTCTCTCAGGATATGTCTACACTGCAATAAAAAAACCCGTGGCACAGAGTCTGAGAGCCAGGGTCAGCTGACTTGGGCTCATGGGGCTCAGGCTGTGGGACTAAAAATAGCAACGTAGACTTTAGGCTCAGTCTGGGCCCTGGGCTCTGAGACCCACCCCCATCGAGGGGTCTCAGATCTCAAATTCCAGCCTGAGCCTGAACATCTACACTGCAGTTTTAGAGCCCTGCAGCCCAAGCCCTGCAAGCCTAGGCCAGCTGTGATCGTGCCCTGGGTTTTTTATTGCAGTGTACATGTCAAATGAATGCTCTAACCACAGGGCTAAAAGTTATAAGGTGGAGTATTGCCGCCACCATCACCACCTCCTCCTTTCAGATTTTGAATGAGACCTGATCGGGGGAAGGGATAGCTCAGTGGTTTGAGCATGGCCTGTTAAACCCAGGGTTGTGAGCTCAATCCTTGAGGGGGCCACTTAGGAATCTGGGGCAAAAAATCAGTACTTGGTCCTGCTAGTGAAGGCAGGGGGCTGGACTCAATGACCTTTCAGGGTCCCTTCCAGTTCTATGAGATAGGTATATCTCCATATATTATTATTAATATTAAATATCTGATAGGTGGTCTCTAAGCATATCTACTGGACTGGGCCCTGCACCCTTGGTAGGAGGGGAAATGCCAATCTTCCCCTGGTTGTATAAAACTCTGGGTGCCTCGACACCTAGAGGGAGATTGCAGTGTGTGTGCCTAGAGGCAGAAACATCTGTGATGAGGGAAATTTTACTCTGAAAATATAGGTGCTTGGGTGAGTTTAGGCACCAACAGGGTTCGGTGGGAGTTCTGTGCATTGCAGTGGAGCCTGAAACTGGGACTTGTGCGCCTATATACCTTTTGTGGATCTGAGCCTTTGTGCCTATATTCATCTGTAAAACAGGAATAATAAAACTTCCTTTGTCTTGTCTATTCAGACTGTAGGTTTTTCAGGGAAGGACTGTGTCTCTCGATGTGTAACATCTAGCAAAATGGGGCCCCAATTGGTTGAGGCTATCATTACAGAAATAATAATTCATCACTCAGGAGCAAGGATGTTCCCTTAGGGACATTAAGTCCATGAAGCCTGGAGGGCAGTTGATAATTGAAATGAAACCCTGCTTCAGAACAGCAGGTGGTGACCTGGGAACCACTTGCACCAAAGACACACAGAGAGGGTATAAGGATAGCATACAGATAGCCTAATGTGAAATGCTCTCCAGTATCAACTCATGAGTCTTTGTTTCACCTGGTCTGCTGTCCAGTGACTGGCCAATTAGGTGCATCAACTGTCCTAACTCTTCCTTCTGTTTTCCACGCTCCCCATAGTCATTCACTTGGTCTTCCTGCTCCTGTACCCTTGGGCTGTACAGTTTTTCATCTTTGCCTTTTGTTTAACTTCAGGTGAAGATACTGAGAGACTGTTAATATTTAAGTATCTGCTCATGGAAGAGCTATTTCAACATTTTCATTGTTTTGGGGGATCTGTCCACAAGAATAAACAGTTCAAGGTGGAAGTGCTTCTGAATTCTGAAGATATCTAGCACTTGTAATGCTTTTTATCCATAGGTATAAAAGCCTTTTACAGTAAATGGTGAGATCTATTAATTGCAATGTTAAGATTACATAGTTTAATATTTTGAAAAGCAGGAAATATAAAAGCTAAGGTTCTTATGCACTAATAAATATGCAGCATTGTCTGTGTGATTCTATTGTTAATTTTATAGCTTACTTGTATGTCTGCTAAATGTATACCATAGAATATACAGGATGAGCAAAATGGCCACTATAACATTATATAATTTTGTGGGTTTGCATTTAATTTCCTTGATTCTTTTCTAAGAAAAATCAGAAGAGAAGAAACACAAACTATCTCTGTGGAATAATGTCAGTATTTAAATGGCCCCCATTGGGCTCTGGACATTACAGCTCATTGCAGCAAGCAGCATGAAGAAGGGGTGAACTAATACCGATGCTTCACAGAAGGCTGTTTTTCAGTTAACAAGGCAGTGGTGTATCAGTTTAGATTGCAATGGCTCTATTTTCACAACAGAAAATTAGGAATGTAATTTTATTAAAATGAAAGCTTAGAATTTGCTGAATGCAGACCAAACTGAAACTGAGATCAGTAACCTTTCTATTGCTTTCCCCTTCCTCTCAAAACTGCCTGTGATTTTTCTACTAATGATACAGTGGTAGGGTTTTATTTTTGACTTTTTCTGTACATCTTTCCTCTGAGACAGCCACTTTTGCACAGACAGCCTCACCAGCAATCCTTAAGCCTACCAGGCTGGGCAGGAAGAATGTGGCATACATAAGATGTTGCAGGGAGCAAGACCTCATTAGGCTCTAAAATCTCAGAATCCCACTGAACATGCTCAAAAGTGATTTTTTTCTCGTAACTTTTATTTATTCTAACATTTTCCCTTTGAACATAGCAAAGGCTTTACTTCACATTGTGGACTATCCAAGTCAAAGTTTAGCTGTGTTTATCCGGGGTGGCAGTGTAAGAATAGTAGAGGTAAAAAGAAAACAGGATAGATAACATACATTCTGTTGTTCTGAATTATACAAGTGACTCCTGAGATGTTTCCAGAGATGACCTCTTTGAGCTGAGACCAAGCATGGAAAGTTTCATTCCCCAAGGGATTTCTTTCCCCTCCTCCCCCAGAAATGTATGAGCATCTGAAGATATAGGGGCTGTTACAATGGAAACCATTTTGCAACCTTGACTATAGTTTTTCTACTGGGGAAAGCTAGAATTCATGTTAACTGCTGTAGTCTTTTAAATAACACATTCAATATTAGATTTTACTGTATGACATCACGTAATATATTAGTGCAGGCCACATCATACCCCAATGGATTGAGGATCCCACTGCTCTGTATTTTCTTTTTCTCCAGTTGAGACTCCAGCATATGGGGTTTTGAACCTTCAGAGGGGAACCAACCAAGTTAGTCCTCCTCATCTTATTTAAACTTTTGCCCATTTGTGTGGCTAGCCCTTTCTGATGGGTTTATTTTCTGGATATCATAGCCTTATATGGGTGAACAATTGTAGCTTGGCTTTTTCGTGCAAATGAATTGTTTGGGATCTGACTGTCCATATGCATCTAATATTTTCAATATGTCTCCCTTTGTTTTGACAGCCTGAGGAAGAGCTTGATCCTGAAGAGAGGGACAACTTCCTCCAACAGCTTTACAAGTTTATGGAAGACAGAGGTAATACATTGCTTAACTTATTATCTTTTGTGTAGCCAACCCATTTAAAAAAATTATTTTTAAATTTAATGTGTTGTATCATGTTATCACCCTTGCATCAGGGAAACATGTATATTCCAATAACTAAACATACAGATGAAAACATTTGTAACCATTTTCAAATGGGGCAAGTCTTCTTATTTCAGATGCTTATCAGCATAACACACAGACAAAAGCAAACCCTGCCTAATTGATGTTTGGTTTTCTGTTGTTGTTTGTGTGTGTTGGGTTTTTTAGACAGTTCTTGATGAGCTAGAACCAAAGTATCTCTGAAATAGCCTCTGAGTTGGTGTCCCTCTATGGCAGCTATGGCTGGCAACTCTGATTTGGAGGATAAAAACACTTGGAGACTTGGCCCTGGGTTGTGGAACTTTCAGCCATCAGAAATCTGGAAATGTGCCATTTTTAAGTCTTGTTGCAAAGCTGTCCTAATCACGCACAGACATTCTACTAGTAGTGGAGCAACAGTGTCATTCACCTGGAAAACAACCTAAGCAATCCAGCTTGGTTCAATAGTTAAAATAAGGAAGGAGTTGATTTGCTGCTTTTCTCGACAGAATTAGACCAGTCTGTTATGTACATGATGGTTAGATGCTATAATGGCAAAGAATATATTGGAAGAGCTGCAGATACCTTCATACATAGTACAGTGCTTTGCCCTCCTCCCAGTTTCACCTTCCTTAGAACCGCAAATTTCAGTGGCTTATGCAATACTAGTTTTCCAATTTCAGGGAGGCAACCAGTTCTAACACCCTGAGCATTTCTAAAGGCATTGAAGCCAGAAAATAGGTTATCCTTTCAGCAAATAACATATTGTGCCCACACATTTTATGCACAGAAATGGCTGTCTTTTTTAATATAAAAAGTTTCACTCCTGTGTTTGCAAACTTGTTTTGATCAATAGCAAAATTGAAAAAATTGTACAAATAAGACTAGACTCGCTTTAGATACTTTTGTCAAAAATTAGCAGGTCTTTTCCACAGGATAGAAAATATCTTTTAAATTTTTTTGTAAGCACTGTATGTACTAAAAACTGCTATTTGACCAATTCGTAGATCCCCAAATTGCCAGGCTCCAAAATGATTCCATAGCAGTGGTGACATTACAGCATAGTATAGCAAAGCACGTGTGGTTATATCTGGATTTAAAAGGACTGGGGTTGAAAGGAGTAAGTTTAGAATCAGTTACATGCTGAATACCTTCTCTGCCCTTTGGTGAACAAGGGAAGAGTGCATAAAAGTTCATAAAATGTTACAGTAATCTATAGCAATAAATGTTGATAGAAAAACACACAAAAAGGAGACAGACTATATTAGTTCAGACAAAATGGTTTCACAATCTTTAAGTATAATTAAAAAAAATATGGCAGGTCACCATTTTAAGTAGGCTGGTCTTCTCTTTAATAAGGTATTTTCCAATCCACAGAGGCTTAATGGAGTAGTACCTAGCCTGTTCAGTCTTGCCACTTGCCTATCACAAATATGTCAGTGGGTCATGTATTTGTTATGGCAAGCTTTTCTGGAGTTCATCCAGCATCACTTTGAAGACCATGCCATGTGGAATTAGCACTCTCGGGGGGAGTGGGGCGGGGGGGAAAGAGGGGGAGGGAAAGGAGGGGCTTCGGAGAAAAGCGTGTTATGTGTAAGCAATACTAGCTTCTTTATAATGTGATTCTTCTACTTCTGTTACTGTCCTTTCTCCTCTTCCTTCATTGTGGAGTGTCACCCTGACTCAAGTGCTGTTAGTCCAGGAAGCAGGGAGAGACTGTGTAGGCAGCTGTGGGACGTGGGGAAAACAAGGAAAGTAACAGAGCAGTAAAAGTAAAGACCCAGTCCCGAGACAAACTGATATTGCTTAAAGATACTATTTCATGGAAAAAAGGGGGCCTCCTTTTCTACCTTGGCAGGGAGGAGCAGCAACTTCATCAATGTTCAGCCCTTAGCCCTGTTTATTTCTGGCCTCCTCTTTCACAATTAATAGATTCTCGTTTCCTACCTGATTCCCAACTCTTAGTTTAGTTTCATACTCTTATCTCCACACACACATTTGTCTCTCTTGCCACCTTTTCCACCATTTCACATTCTGACCCTTTAATTTAATTTTCTACTCCATGTCCCCTTCACCCAAACATTTGATGTTCTTCTCTTTATCGACTCCCACACCCTACCATTTACCAGGCTTTTCCTTAGCAATTCTGATAGGCTGTCCTTCCATGTTTTGGCTGCCCTTCCGTGTTTTGCCTGCTGTTTGGGTAAGGGCAGCTAATCAGATGGGGTTTTCCCGAGAGATTTGAGGAGGGTCAGAAAACCTGTGTAGTTTGCAGGCCTATGATGTCAAACATTATAATAACTCACCTAGAACCAACCAGATGGTGACGCAAAAGCTGAGCATGACCATTAGTTGGGAGCAACTGACTTGAGATGTCTTTTTATGGGTAAAAATATTATTACAGACACTACATTGAAAAATGTACCAGCAATCAAGTGTGTGCTATGGGATGGAAGAGAAGTTTGCTCATCTGCATGGTAACTTTATTTATTTGTATTCTTATGTTAATTAGGTACTCCTATCAATAAACCTCCTGTTCTGGGCTACAAGGATCTTAACCTCTTCAAACTTTTTAGACTGGTGTATCAACAGGGTGGGTGTGACAATGTAAGTGTCAAATTTTTCTTAAGCGAAACATCTATTTGTGCTCTTGAAAATTATGGTTACGGTTCTAGTGTCCCAGTAAATTTTGTTCTTAATTTTCCTGGTTAACAAATAAATCTTACTTTTCCAGATTGACAGCGGTGCTGTATGGAAGCAAATTTATATGGACCTTGGCATTCCTATTTTGAACTCCGCTGCTTCCTACAATGTAAAAACTGCTTATAGAAAGTAAGTTATATCTTATTAGATGATTGAATGAATGGTTTTATGAATATGGAAAATCTGAAAAGTGGCATGAACACTTTATTTTGATAGCTCAGCAGTTGATATTAGTAGACAAGTAAGTGTTTCACATTCTCTTCTTATGTTGCTACATTAATTTTGCCAGATTTTAAGAAGTTCTTGCAAACAAGGTCCGGAGTTCTGCAGTGAGAGTGGTGCTTAGCGTCCTCCACTTCCATTCACTACAAAGGGGAGTAGGTGTTGGGCACCATGTAGGGTCTTGCAGTTGCAGTTTCTTAGAACATGGAAGCTTGTTTTAGAGCAGGAAATCTCCATTGTTGGCATGTGGTGTTACTGTTTTGGAATATAGCAATGAAAACTGCTATACAATTAGTTTGCAATTTATGCTTACCAACACAGACAGACTCTGTCCTCAGATGCACACACATTCTACTTCCATTGACATTTGTGATAGCTGCATGCTATGGGCAGAGCTTTGCATTTATTTGCTCCAGACTTTTAAACTTTCTGTACAATGTAGCTAGAAATAAGTGTGTTGCAGAAGTAATCTTTCAAACCTCAGTGCAGAAATTTTGGTTATACCTTTATAGATCTGTAGATGATGGCTTTCAGACACACTTACATTGTTAGCTACAGTATAAGAGTAGGAGGAGTGGGGGTGACCACTTGAGTTAAGGCTGCATATGCCTTTTCATTCTAACCCCTGATGTTCAGTTGTATTTTCATTTTTGATACTTACACCTTCTGGGCTGAAATGTTTCAGGCTCACTTTCTAAGTAGAGTGGACTTTCTTCTTCTTTTTTTCCTCCTGAAAGGTTGAGCAAATATAGTTCAGTGTTTTGAGTAAAAGGAGAAATTGAGCTCTGCATGTGGGAAGCCGGGGGAATGTTTTCCCCAATTCTGAAGAACTTATTTTGTTGTTGTTGTTGTTTAAGAAAACAATCCGAACAATTGATTGTTGTGTGATTGGCACCAGTATCAGGAGTGGCTTAAGTTAAGGTTACAGATGCAACATTAACTCTCACCATTGTGCATTTGCAGTACAAAAGTCTTTAATGACATGGTTGCATTTTGTTTCTCAAATACAATATATCATATGTTTTCTAAGCCTTAGATTAATGTGCATGCCAGACAGCTCATTAAAGTAATCATTTGAAAAGTACATAGCAAACTATTGCTGATTAAGAAGAAAAGTGAAAATTTGCAGGCATATATTGCCCACCTAAATTTTGCAGCTAAACTAGCTTAGTGGTTAACTACCTCATTCTCTGACTTGAACCTGTTGAAAGTTGTGCTTGTTGAATAGCAGGTGACAAAGGGTCTCATCCTACTCATTGAAGTAAATGAAAATGAAAATATTCAGATTGTCTTCAATGGGAGTTGAGCTGGGTACTAATTTAAGATGCATATTTTACAGAGAAAAGTATTTAGCATGCAAAAATTAGTAAAGTTGTGACAGACCATTATGACATTGAAAACACTCTAACAATATAAGAATGGAAAAAAATATTGCAAGGTGATTCTAAGATTGTAGAAGCAATTGTGTGAGAAACAGTATAGCATGATGTGCTCTCGATGGTCTGAATGCTTAAGCAAATGGGACAGAATTAAAGCTGTGCACGTGCAATGTTAAACTTAGTCACTCAAATATGACTGCTTAATCATGCTACCTCAAAATCTCTTAACATAGGATTGAGGTTTTTATTGTTTGGTTTGGGGTTTTGGGGGTTGTTTTTTTTCTTTTTCTTTTTTTTTTCCAGGAATTAGTGCTCTTCTCTTGCACTTCTGCGAGCAAGAAAATAAAGAATTTGTTTGCAGTTCAGTGAAATGAAAATCAGATATGCATTGGTAAAAATGTAATGAAACTTTGTTTTCATATGTAGGTATCTTTATGGTTTTGAAGAATACTGCCGCTCTGCAAACATTCAGTTCAGGACCATCCATCATAATGAACCAAAAGTGGTAGAAGACATTCAGAAACAAGAAGAACCAATGGAGGAAAGTGTAAAAGAGGAACAAGAAATGCTTCCAGCAGAAGTAAAAAATGAAGCAGAAGAAAATGATTCCAGCAGCGAAAGTGAAAAAGAAGAAATAGAATTAAGATCCCCGAGAGTAAGTAGTCTGATTTGAGGGTGTTTTTTTTTAATTTATGTGCTAAATAGAACTGGGTGTCCTTAATAGTTCACTGATATGAGATTTCTCTAGAGGATTGGCTGTACATGGGAATTGCCATACTTGTACAAACACGAGCCACATGCTGGATAACACAGGCTTCCATTCACATATCAAGACAATGTTCCACTGTTTACACTGGCTTCCCATTGAATATAGTCCATTTCAAGTTCTCTCTTGATGGTCAAAACCCTCCAGGAGATGGACTAAGCTACCTGAGATCATCTTTAGACAAAGGAAATGCAGTAGATCTAATCTACCTAGATTTCAGTAATGCATTTGAGAAGATGGGGATAAGGAACTGGTTAAAGGGGAGACTGCAATGGGTCATACTGAAAGGTGAATTGTCAGGCTGGAATATGTTTACTAGTGGAGTTCCTCAGGGATTAGTTTTGGGACCAACCTTATTTAACATTTTTATTACTGACCGTGGCACAAAAAGTAGGAATGTGCTAATAAAATTTGCAGATGATACAAAGTTGGGAGGTATTGCCAATATGGAGAAGGACCAGAATATCATACAAGATGACTGGATGACCTTGAAAACTGGAGTAATAGAGATGGGATAAAATTTAATAGTGCAAGATCATGCACTTGGGGACTAACAACAAGAACTTTTGCTACAAGCTGAGTACGTATCAGTTGGAAGTGATGGAGGAGGAGAAAGACCTGGGTGCGTTGGCTGATCACAGGATAATGTGATATGTGATATGGCCGTGAAAAGGCTAATGCAATCCTAGGATGCATCAGTCGACGTATTTCCAGTAGAGACAGAGAAGTGTTAGTACCATTATACAAGGCACAGGTGAAACCTCATCTGGAATACTGTGTGAAGTTTTGGTCTCCCATGTTTAAGAAAGATGAATTCAAACTGGAACAGGTGCAGAGAAGGGCTACTAGGATATTTGAAGGAATGGAAAACCTACCTTATGAGAGGAGCCTCAAAGAGTTTGGCTTCTTTAGCCTAACCAAAGAAGGCTGAGGGGAAAATTACTCTATTAAAAAAAACATCAGAGGGATAAATGCCAGGGAGGGAGAGAAGTTATTTCAGTTAAGTGCCAATGTGGACACAAGAACAAATGGATATAAACTGGCCATCAACAAGTTTAGGCTTGGAATTAGATGAAGTTCTCTAACCATTAGAGGAGTAAAGTTCTGGAGCAGCATTTCAAGTGGAGTAGTTGGGGCAAAAAAACTAACTGGCTTCAAGACTGAGCTTGATAAGCTTATGGAGGGGACGGTATGATGAGACTGCCTACGATGGCATGTAGCTGATCTGCAATTGCTAGCAGCAAATATCTCCTCCAATGGCTGGTAGTGGACACTAGCTGGGGAGGGCTCTGAGTTACTACAGACAATTCTTTCCCAGTTGTCTGGCTGGTGGGTCTTGCCCTCATGCTCTGGGTCTAACTGATCGTTATATTTGGGGTCGGGAAGGAATTTTCCCCTGGGTCAGATTATGAGACTCTGGGGGGTTTTCACCTTCCTCGGCACTGTGGGGCACAGGGCACTTGCAAGTTTAAACTAGTGTAAACGGTGGATTCTCTGTAACTTGAAGTCTTTACATCATGATTTGAGGACTTCAGTAACTCAGCCAAAGGTTAGGGGTCTATTACAGGAGTGGGTGAGTGAGGTTCTGTGCCCTGCAATGTGCAGGAGGTCAGACTAGATGATTGTGATGGTCCCTTCTGACTTAGATTTTGTTTCCCTGCACAACCATGACTTTCATCAACAGCTGTGTTCCACCAGAACCATAAAACTATCACCAAATGGGGTAGACTTGTGAACATGAGAGAATTTTCACAGGAGCTGGACCTAGATTATGTCATTTCCTCCTGCAAGAGATAAGAATGAGCAGACCCCTCACAGCTTTAAGTACCAAATGTAAACCCCATCTCTTTGACCTAGTGTTCTCATGTTATCTCTCTTTTAAAAAATAAATAAAAATCTTCAGCCTTTCAACTCATTCACATATGCAGAGAAGGGAATGGAGGGATAGTGAGTTTTTTGTTTGATATCTTTATTTTTATTTTTTTATTTTGAGTATTGCTTGAATGCTGTGGTGATGAGGGCCATGTCAGCAGGTACATAGATACATCAGTGACCCATCTAATTTAGTGTTCAATCAAAAGTAGAATATAAGAAAATATTTAAAAGAATTTTTCCTTCGTTGGAACAAGAAATTAACTGTCTGAGTTATCTAGATTAACTGGCTAGAACTCTGGCTAGTTCTATTAAGGAAGTTACTATATGTTCATTGATTAAAACTAGTACACTGAAAGGGAAAGAAATGTTACTTCTGACAGTTACCAAAGAACAAAGAATGTTTCCAGTTAAAATATTTAATAATGCACATTTAGTATCTAATATCCTTGTGATGTAAGCTAGCTATACACCTCTACCTCGATATAGCGCTGTCCTCGGGAAACAAAAAATCTTACCGCGTTATAGGTGAAACCACGTTATATCGAACTTGCTTTGATCCACCGAAGTGTGCAGCCCCGCCCCCTTGGAGCACTGCTTTACCGCGTTGTATCCGAATTCGTGTCATATCGGGTCGCGTTATATCGGGGTAGAGGTGTAACATCAGAAGTTTGTTTCCTATTGAAGTTTTTTGGTGACTAGATTCTGTCAAGGTATTAAATGATTGATAGAAAGGGTGTTATTAAATGAAAATAAAAATACTGTGAGCATATGCTTACTGGAAATGCTACTTAAAATGCGGTAAATGTACTGAATCAATAGTTTAAAAGATGTGGTTTCTACAATAGTATAAATATACAATATTTAGCTTTAGACAAGCACTGAAAATATGAAAAGATAATACAGACCAATCACCTATGATTATCTCTAACTTGATCACCTTCCAGCATGCTGCAAAAGCTGTTTTTATTTGACAGGGTGTTGGAGGAAGGTTGTGGGTCAGGAGAGAAGATGGAGTGGAAGGGTTTTTTTATGCTGCTTTGACTTATTGGATGGCAAAGTTAACCTGTTAATTCAGCCAACCAGCAGCATTAAATAATATGTAGATAATGTTATCTGTATGTGACTATGTAATACTTCCAGGTGGTTGCCATTATGTTGCTATACATTTAATTATTAGGGCACCTACTGGGTTTGATTGTTGTTTGAATAATAAATACATTCTAACAGAAGGATATATGTTCTGAGTACAAAAATGTGACGCTACCAAAAAGAGCACCTAGGCCGCTTAATAATAAAACAATAAGCCCATAACAGTTAAGATCCCCTTCCCCCAAACTCACCAGCTATCCCCACTGCTGTTCTTTACCCCTTTGGAAATTCCAGTGGTCTTGCAGCATGCTCTGAAGGCAAACAAATCTAGAGAGACAAGGTCGGTGAGGTAATATCTGTTATTGGACCAACTTACGTTGATGAGAGAGACAAGCGTTCAAATTTACACACAGCTTTTCATCAGGCCCAGACCTGAAGTAGAGCTCTGTGTAAGCTCAAAAGCTGGTGTCTCTCACCAATAGAAGTTGGTCCAATAACAGATATTACATCACCCACTTTGTCCCTCTAATATCCTGGGACCATCACATCTATAACAACACTGCATACAAATCTGGGTCCTGTCAGACCAAGGAGAGCAATTTCCAGAATTGAGGATCCCTCGTGGAAAATGCCTTGTGAGCATCTCTGTCCCTTTTAAGCCATGGGACTATCAACTCAAGTTGTTCCACTTACCACAACTGCCATAGTCAGCTAGGGAAGGTGATATTTCATGTGCTCAGGGACTACAGGCCTTGTAGATCTAAACAAATTCCTTTAAAATTCACCTGGAAACTAATGAAAAGCTAGAACTCTGATATTGGAATGCCATAATTGTAAACAGAATGCACACAATGTTTTTTAAATTTATAAATATGTGATAACTCAAATGCAAAACTTCACATTGGCCTCCAATCTGTCTTCTGTACAGGAAAAATAAATATACTTCAGTGCACAGGATGCACCGCATAACCTCCTCTGCCCTGAACATGACAATGCTTGTTTAACAGATTGTGTTTCTATCTTAGGGACGAAGGAGACTTGCTCGCGATGCAATAACTACTAAAAAAGAAACTGAAGAGGATAAAATGCAGGACAAATTAAAAGATAGCAACAAAGAAAATAAAGATGTAGAGGAAACACTTGAGAATGCAGAGAAGAAAGAAAATGAGACACCACTTGGGAGAAAGAACACACCAAAGCAAAAAGAGAAGAAAATGAAAAAACAAGAGGAATCTGATAAAGAATCTGATGAAGAGGAAGAGAGAAGGCAAGAGGGGTACATATTAACTTACATCTGCTCTTTAAAAGAATGCCTGTGTGGTGGTACAGTGGCACTCTGTATTGCTGAGTACAAGGGAGATTTAGGATTCCATTTCTGGAGATGAGACGTGAATCAAATCCATGATTTTCACACACACACACCCATCACAATTTCCCCCTCCTTGTGCATCTCCAAGACAGCAGAGGTCTGCTGTACCTGAGGGAGGATTTTTCCTTGGAGATGGCAGGTAGTATTTCCACTGTCCTCTTCCTCCAAGGGTTCAGTCAGGAAGGGCAGAATTCTAGTTTTGGGGGCCATACAGGAGTTTATCTTGAGAATGCTTCCCTGGAGGTGTATTGAATCAGTGCATCCTTGAATGTTCTAGCTCTGTTCTCATCCCAGCCCTACTTCTGGGCTGCTTTAGCCAAGAGTGTCACCACCCCCCTCAGTTGCACACAATATTCACTGCTGTATCACTTCTCTGGATGGACTTCTGTCACTGCAGGCTTGGATTATATTGGTATTTGTGCACAGTAGTACACGCAAGCACTAGCTAGGTGTTGTGCTAGGTGTTGTACAACCATGTAGTGATGGATGGTTTCCCACACTCTGTCTTGTCTATTTATATTGTATGATTTGGGGTAGAAAGTGGATGGAACATACAAGCAAAGAGGCTAATGATGATTGGCAAATGTCCAACTTGCGCTTGTTTCCATTTTTATTTAAATGTATTTAGAGGGCAGGAGGGGATGAATTAATAAGAGCAAAGGAGAAATGAAGGGGGACTAAAAATGAAAAGGGGAGATGGATTGAAGAGGCAGAGAAGGAGAGAGGGCAACATGGAGGACAAGGAGAGAGGGGCGGGCAACAGAACAATGTGGGAGAATGAGGAGATGTTGGAGTAATGAGCCAAGTGGTAGAAAATAGCAGCCATAGTACAAACTGAGAGGCAGAATTGGTTTAAATCACTGCTGTCCAGGGGTTGTGAAAACAGGCTAGGCCTCTCTCTTCCCACCCTGCTAGTCCTGACTATCCCCTTGCTCCATTCAGGGATTGGGTTTGCTCCTTGTGACATCATTCTTCCTCTTTTCTAGCCCATGGAAAGGGGAGGAGTGCACTTGGGGCACAAGCTGAGAGTGAATCAAGCCTGATGACTTTTTGTTTCAAGCAAGGAGAATGTGTTGGCTGCATCATCTCCGTATCATTTCCATATGAGGAGAGATTAATAAGGCTGGGACTTTTCAGCTTGGAAAAGAGATGACTGTGGGTGGATATGATAGAGATCTATAAAATCATGACTAGAGTGGAGAAAATAAATAAGGAAGGAAGTATTTCTTCACACAATGCACAATCAGCCTGTGGAACTCTTTGCCAGAGGATGTTGTGAAGGCCTAGACTATATAACAGGGTTCAAAAAAGAACTAGATAAGTTCCTGGAGGATAGGTCAATGGCTATTAACCAGGATTGGCAGGGATGGTGTCAATAGTCTCTGTTTGCCAGAAACTGGGAATGAGTGACGGGATGGATCATTGTTCTCTTCATTCCCTCTGAAGCACCTGGCATTTGCCACTGTTGGAAGACAGGATACTGGGCTAGATGGACCTTTGGTCTGACCCAGTATGGCCATTCTGATGTTCTCATTTTGATGCACTCATGGAAAAAAACTGTGACTTCAAAGAAGGCTGTGCCTTCAGTCAAAAGAAAGATCTTGTAGAATAACACAGCAAGCAAAAATTCCATTCAAACATAGATACAGTGTGGGTGTACAGTAGGTTGCATAGGTGTATTACATATATCTACAGTCTCTTAGTCATCTTTCTTGTAAATACTTGATGCCTTGGTTATCATCTTTCCTTTTAGTGTAAACTGTTATTGCTGCAAAATAGGTTATAGTCAGAGATGAACTAACATTTATCTTTTGTAAAAAGCAAGCTGCGCTTTTTCTGTCTATTTTGTCTGCTTGTGGTTCCTTATAGTTCTAGGTTTTGCTTCTATTCCAAATTATTTATTTAAAAGGCACGAAAGTATGTAGATCAGATGAGACATTGGTTTTTGAAAAGACATTTTCAGGCACCTAGTCCTTGTTATGGATCTTTCCTTAAGTTAAATGGTAGATAAAAATTCTTAGCCTCTTTTTTAAAATTATATCCTGGATAAAGGCATTTATTGTAACCTTGTGTTTGCCACTATTTGCTTCAGTGGAACTGATTAGATAGCCACAAAAAGGCCATTACATTGACAGTGCAAACGTCTCGTATAACTTGAAAGAAAATTGTGAAAGGTGGAAAAATTTAAAATAACACATCAGAAGCAAATATTAAGAATTAAAGTTAGTGTCTCCTTGCTCAGCACCTTCTGTTTCACTTGAGCTTCGAAACAGTGAGTTAATGTAATATATTTTCTCCACCTTTCTGTGATCTCCATATGTTTCAGAGGATAAACGTTAAAGCTTTGAGATAGTTATGCACATAATAAATCATGTTAAAATTTGTGAATTGTGAATAAATCCGATGCATCATTTTTAACACTTCTGATTTATGCAAAACAGAGTGGAGGTGTCTGACTTGAATAAGTTATGACCAGCCCCCTTTTTTATGCATTGCACTTCATGAAGCAAGGAACTCCCTACTGCAAACTTTTATCTTCTCCTTCCTCTGATTAGAAAGGGAATACTTAACTATGCTTTGGAAATGTTAGGTCTGATTGTAATTAAATAATCAATGGGCATTATAAATATACCTTGCTACAGGGAGGAAATTGAAAACAAAGGAGAATCAGAAGGGGAGGAAGATGAGGAGGACTCGGAGCCCTGTCTAACAGGAACCAAAGTGAAAGTAAAATATGGACGTGGAAAAACTCAGAAAATTTATGAAGCCAGTATTAAAAGCACAGAAATTGATGATGGAGAGGTTTTATATTTAGTACATTACTATGGCTGGAATGTAAGGTAAGAAGGAGAAATTACTGGTTAACTTCATTTTAGTTTACTAAAATAATTGTTGTATTCAGAGATTTTATTTTTTATTTTTTAAGAGAATATCATCAAAGGGGGAAGAGTAATGGGTCTCTTGTCCCTGCAGTGAATTAGTATTGCACAATAGGGTCAGATCCTGCTAAAACTTTTTCATGTGAGTACCCTCACTCACATATGAGTAATCCTGTTGAAGCCAATGGAATTACGCATGTGTGTAAGTGTTTGCTGGATTTTGGTCCATCTCTGCATAAAACTGTGAGTAGTACTGTTACATTAAATTGGAGTTCTTGTGGGAATAAATCCGATACCTGGTAATAATTGTCACCAGGATCAGACCTTTGGCGAATATAGTGAGCTATGAAAGTGACTTTTAAATTACTCTTGCCTTTTAAGAAAGTGGTGGTGTGCTTCCAGATGTCACCCTGAGTATTAGAAACGGTATTGTGTTTAGTAGTAGGGTAGCTTATACAGTTATTGGTTTATTAAACTCTGAAATTTCAGCAACAAAAAATATGCTGACAGTTGAACACTGACTATAATTAAAGAAGATCTATGTTTTAAGAAATTCATGGTGGGAGTGAGTGGGGAAAGCTGAACTGTAAGGAGGTGCAGAAAAAAATCCACTGAACACTTACATTGTATTCCAAAAGAGTGCATTCCTTATATTTAATACCTGTTGGGTAATGGCATTTCTTTATTTTTATAAACAATGTGACTGTGCTAATGGCATAAAACTCAAATATATTTTAAAATGTGTTTTCCTTGTACATTAAAATTTGAGACTTGCCACCTCATTGAATTCCTGAGAAATCTAAACAGACATCACGTAGGTTTGAAAGAAACCTTTTTTCCAAACTTCTATTCACATCCCCTCTTCTATATTAATATTATTAATAATTAATAATCATAATAACACAGGAGAGTTTCAAAGGCACAAATGGCAGATACGCACCTAACTCCATTTATGCCTTTGACAGTCTCCCCTAATGCTTAGTGTCTTTTGCCAGACGATTTGAAAACTTTTTAAAAACACAGGTAAGTATGATTATTTTATAACAGTGTTATAGATGGGGAAACTGAGGCGTGGAGAGATTAAAACTGAATTTTCTAAGGTCACATGAAGTTGATGGAAGAGTCTGTAATTGACCCCAGGTCACCTGACTTCCAGTGCTTTGCTGGCAGGAGACCAGGAAGGTCTGCACCTTCAGATTTCCTCAGGATCTTAGGAAGGTAATTGCAATAAAACATAGCACTAAATACGTTTTAAAACATCAGATACTTGATATGTTGCTAAAAGGGGGTTGGGGATCTATTTTGAATTGTTATTAAGGTCTTTGCAATTCAGCTTTGAACCATCAAATTACAATAAAACAGTTTTTAACGGGAGTAGTAACAATGTGCTGTGTTTTGCCTTTAGATACGATGAATGGGTGAAAGCTGATCGGATTATCTGGCCTTTGGACAAAGGAGGACCAAAGAGAAAACAAAAGAAAAAAGCAAAAGTAATATTTGTAGATCAGTAAACTTCTTGTAATAGTTTGTAAGAGCTTAATGGATCTCTCTGCTCCTAATAAGAATTTATTTAGCTGTTCACTCCCTAGTCCCTCCCCTTAACGTGTAGCCCAAAAAGGGTGACGTTTTGACTATAAGCAGTGATGTACATTCATAGAATGCCCAATTTTGTGTCTTCAGAGTAAAGAAGACCAGGAAAAGGATGAAAAGAAGGATGAGGAGAAACAGAAATCAAAACGTGGCCGCCCCCCTCTGAAATCTACTCTTCTGTCAAACATGTCTTGCAGTTTATCCAAAACACCTAATAGTGAAGGTAAAGCAGGAGCCAGAAGTACACGGAGCAATATGTCAGATTGCTCGTCATTACCAAATGGAACAGAAGGTACACCTGATGCAGTCATGTGAGACACTTAGGTGCTCATACATAGGAGAAATGTATGTAAATACAAATAATGTAACCCCACGCCTTCGTATGAAACGCTTAATAAACATATTGCTGTATTGTAAGTCAGCAGTTTTGAAGCCCTGTGCATTCAGTCAGTCAGTTTTACTAGCTATCTAACAGATTTTATTCTGTATCAATTAATTAGTTTTGATTTTGATTTTTAGGAACACCTCGCAGGCAGACGAGACGTAGCTCAGGAATGTTTGATTCTGATAGAGGATCAAACGGTGAGTGATCTCTGTCCTGTGTTTTGATTTTCATTCCTTTTGGAAAAAGCGATGAAAACCCCCCTTTTTTCCCTGCGAATTTTAATGCTGTTGAAAGAACTAAATTGACACCAGTGGAGGGGGAAAAAAATCTCTCTTTCCTCCCCAAGCAGTTAGGGAAGGGGCAGCTACCCCATGTTCTCGCATCAGTCTGCTTCAGTCCAAATCCAGAGATAAAATTGTGGCCATTCCTATGGTCACTCAATCTTCCAATCTCACAGCTCATGCATCCAGCAGGGAGGCTAGTTGAGTACAAATGGTGGCAGTGTTGTTTGATGATAAGAACCCTTGTCTAATAGGAACCAAATTGAAGCCACCAACTCATTTCATATAGGATCTGCACAACTATCAGGCACCATAGTATTACTTGCTATCTATATGGCTTCTGATTGAAACCACCGATTTGGCAATGAAATGGTTGTAACCCCGTTACCAGTCTTCTGAGCCATCCATTCCTTTTTGAGGTGAGGTGACTGGGAAGATTCAAGCTATAAGGAGACTTGTAAAACTATCCTGTCCTCCTGAACTGTGATTTATGTGTGGCTTTTTGATTTCTAACCTTCACCACCACCACCAAAAAAAAAAAGTGAACACAAAAAAAGAGAGTTTACACTAGTGTTACCATACTTCCATAGAGATCTAAAGTAACACTCAGAAAAACTGTAGCAAAAATAGGTTGAATAATGCAACACATTTGGATTTTTTTAAATTTTTTTATGCAAAACCAAAACTCTTGATTTTTTTTTTTTTTTTTTATAAAGTAGATTTGGTACACTGTATCTGTGTGGGTTATTGAATAGTATCTGCATAGCTAATATAAAA